AAAAAAATAAAAATTCAATGTCAGATAATAGATTTTTATTTGGAACAAAATGGGTTTTTATCCTGAATTTTTGAAGAATCCTGGGTGATAAAAAGAAAAAAAAAGAAGAAAATATATTAAAAGGAAGAATTTTTTTTTTTTTTTAATTGTTACTTTAGGAGGAATTTTTGCATATTAACAACTGCACTTCAAATGATTTATAAAATTGATATAAAATCAAAATGCATTGTAAGTTACTCAAAAATATAAAGTGTTCAGCCAACAGATTTTAACTGGTCTTTTTTTTTTTTTTTTTTTTTTACTGGAGTTTGACACTTGTTTTTTCTTTAATATTAAGCTATTGAAGCTGAAATTATAAACTAGGTTTTTATACTGTGATAAGATCCCTAATATGCTTCTAATCCTTAATTCATTTTGATCATTACATACTAAAGAGGATATAAGGGAAATTATTTTTTTTTCTATAGAATTGCATCGCTATTTTAACGCTAATTGTTTATGCAAACCAGAATAGTTATTAAATACATCAAAACTTGCATCCACTTTGATGATTATATCTACCGTGGCATATTAAACACTAAATGTATAAAGAGAAGGTAAAGAAAAGACCAAATTCCCAGAATTCATTGCAGCTTGGGATCTGATATAACACAGCAATAAAGATTCAAAAAGTCACCATTTAAAATAGTTGTCTATGTTCTAGAAAACATCGACTTAAAGTCTAAGTTTCACTTGTTTGTTTTATTTTACGGCATATCAACCTAAATGGGTTATTTAATGCAGACAATTTTTATTGCTGGTAATAAATTTTTGCAAAGTATTTCTGGTATTAAAAACCCATTTTTATAGTGTTTAGGGGTCAACTATTTGCTCACAATAGGTTCCACCACCCCAGACCAGTGTGAGCTTGGGAACACTAGCAATCAAGAGGCGGTTGCACGCACCTCAAAACCTCCTAACCAGAGGCCTTGCTTACTGGATTTATTTTTACACTTTTATAGTGTTTAGGGGTCAACTATTTGCTCACAATAGGTTCCACCACCCCAGACCAGTGTGGGCTTGGGAACACTAGCAATCAAGAGGCAGTTGCACGCACCTCAAAACCTCCTAACCAGAGGCCTTGCTACTGGACGTAGTTTATTGTCTTACCCAGGACGTGGCCGTAGTTTATCATCATACCCAGAACGGTTTAAAGTGTAGAAAGATCATTGGCTGCCTGATCTCAAGAAAAGCTCTTTCTTGGTGAATGTCAGTCCTTACATAAGATGATTATTCACAGGGCGAGGGAGTGGATGGATGAAAAGAAAAAAAAAAAAAATTTCCCCAGAATAACAATTGCACATAAACATGGAGTTTAATGACACCACAACTAAAGTTTTTCAAATCTATTTAGAACACATTTTGTGTGTTGAAAATGAAGACAGTGAGTGGGGTTGTAAAACAAAAACAAACAAACATGAAACAACATTTGCATAGCTAACACTGGATTACCTCGCTTACATTTATTTAACTAAAATCATTATGATGATATGGACAAAGTCGGACAATTATTTTAAGACATTTTTATGTTTATACATTCTTTTTATAGAGACAAATATTTAATTAAATGCTCTGTTTATAATAAACAGTATTAAACAACATTTACCGGCCTGTGAAAATTTCTCGGACATTCAGGCCGGTAAATGTTGTTTAATACTGTTTATTATAAACAGAGCATTTAATCAAATATTTGTCTCTATAAAAAGAATGTATAAACATAAAAATGTTTTAAACTAAACTTATTATATCTATGCTCTCCTTTGGATCTGAAGGCATTCATTAGAAATAAGATAAAATAAATTGAAAGGTCTCTTTCAATAACAGATTTTACAAGCAAAAATTTGGTTTACCTATGTGGTCTCCTATCAATGGTGTTATCGCTTGCCTTTTTCTAGAATTCTCAGAATCTGCCTCATTTTAACATATCATACCTAACAGCTCTACTTACCTAAGAGACATTAATGATGTCCTCATTTTATCCCCAAGATACTAACCATCAAATTCACACATGAATTTGAAACAAATAACTTCTTTCTAGCTTTCCTTGATATCCTATTAATACATAATGATAATAAATTATATTTTAAAGTATACTGAAACTTAACCCCCCAAAAAAAAAAAAAAACAAGCTCACAAAATCCATAAAGCCAAAAACTCAAATATTTCCAACAAGAATTATACAAAATTCATAATCCTAACCGCCAACACATCAACCAAACTTGCAAATGAATTAGCCATCCCTGACACGAGGATTGTTATCATCACATCCAAGACTATCAAAGATATAATCAGGAGGAAAAATAAAACAAACACCAATTCAAATGCTGGAGATTATCAAATCAAAATGTCTACAGTGCAATAATATATCCACTGGGGAGACATCACATGATCTAAAACACCACATCTAGAAACACAAAAGAGACTTTTCTATTTAATTTCCATATAATATTACCAATAGGAATTGTAACTGTGTTTAAAAGAAAAATTATCGATAACTTTCAATAATCAAATTAAATAAGAAGAATGAGATAATGGGTCAATGCTAACATTTTAACAAATATTTACTTTGTTACTTTAATAATAATATAACATAATACAACATAAAATATTATAAATTAATTAATAACATAACTTCAATACAAATGATACATATATAAAAAATTCATTAGAAAAATAATTCTACTTTGAAACAAAAATTTACAAACGACCATGTAAACAAAAGCAAAAATTCAAGAACGTGTGTTTAAAAAAAGAAATGTAAAACTCATGAACATGCACAGATTAAGAAAAAGACACACAAAAAAAAAAAAACTGAAAAAAATTGGAAATGAGATTATTCAAACAACAGATCCCTTGAAGAATGATAAAAGATGGGGAAACAACATGAAAAATTCATATTTAAAGTTAAGTATTTTTTTAACTATATATATATATATAAAACGATGAAGAAATATAGTCTTAAGGTGTGCTATATTTATGGGATAAAATGCTCAATATCAGAGATAGAGCGTGTGTAAATATAAAAGTGAACTTAGAAGTCAACACTTAGAGGTGACAGTCTGTTTCATGCTAGATGCAATTGCATCTAGCATGAAACAGACTGTCGCCTCTAAGTGTTGACTTTGTTCACTTATATATATATATATATATATATATATGTGTGTGTGTGTGTGTGTGTGTGTCTGTGGTATAAAATAAAACTGGAAAAAAAAAAAAAATCTTTCCAGTTGTCATCTTATATCAATTTGTCTTGTCCACAGAATTGATCTGGGAATATATATATATATATATATATTTACACATCATGTTTATTTAACATTTAATTTTTGTCTACCAGTCTGAATATTCAAGAAATCTTATTACAACAATATAAATATACTGTTTAAGAAATAAATGGTGTATCTACTCAAATATGAGTATCCACTAAAAGTAACTTTTAAGCAATAAAATTTGTCGGATTAATAAATATAAATCCATAAGGCTGCCCTCATTTCAATTTGGCAATGAGTATGTAAATAACCAAAAAGCCCTGCTTCATTTATGCAGTCTTTGTTGCCTATATGCCAAGCAAAAGACTTGTCTATAGTGTTTAAGCTTATCCATGCTCTCTCATGTGACTCTACCGACCCGCTGCTAACTCACATACTTTGTCACAAAACTGACATACATTTCCTGCAGGTATTTGTGGGTGGCTCTCATGTCACCTACCAGTAAATTTGTGACTCTGTGCCCCCAACTCATTAAGATTACATGTATCACCATTCGTCCATCACTGCAGGGCTTTTGAATTCATAACCATGCATTTTCAAGACAATGATGACGGAATGACTTATGTTTCACTTCTCGCAAAGTTTGACTTCTCTGGAATGATTAGGTGGTCACATAAGTATAACTCAACAAACACAATCTATCAGTCATGCAACCTAATCTCACTTCTTACTGATCAGATATCCCTATCAAACAGGCATTGTTCTATCATAACAAATGAATATTTAAAATGATACCAGGTTGCTAATATATTTCTTTTTGTTTCAGATTAGCATTTCTTTTTTTCCATTCTTATACTTTTACATTCAACAATTTAGAAAACACAATTCTTTTATTTTATCGTTATTATATATAATTTTTGTCCCATGAGTGACTGAGAAATTACACAACTCGGAGTTGACCTTTGATAAATGAACACTTCTAATAATTATTATCACTCTAATCTATAATGTTGCACGTTATTGGCAGAAGTCTGTTAAATTTGATATATGTTAGATTATATAACTTTATTATGAATATTATTTACTAGTATCAATAGCTAGTGCATGCATATATATATATATATATATATATATATATATATATATATATATATATATATATATATATATCTTACCATTATATATTTATGGGGAAAGAGTGATTCTGTGGACAATTTTAATAATTCTGGTGTTGTAGAATTATTTAATAATGAAAACTGTATATTTGTCTAATATTCAGAAAGTATTGAACAAAGAAGAAAATGCAATAAAATGTTTTTGGAAACTACTCAAATATACTGGTCCCCTTGTTAAAAAAAAAAAAAACAAATAAAATAAAGGAAAAAAAAATTTTTTTTTTTTAAATTAAAAATATGTTTGTTCTTTAATTAAAAGAAATCTTTTAAGCACTACCTTTGTTTTTGGTTATAAAATAACTAAGTCCAATGAGTCTGGGATAAATTTGACAGTATCAATATTAGAAACAGGATCCCCATTTCTAAATCAAAGAAAGAAAATTTTTCAATTTTCAGCCTAAAGAATGCTAATCTACACAAATTACTTCTCCCCCAAAAAGTTTTCCCCTATTTTTAAACAAGTAGACTAGTTTACAGTTGAACAAGTTTTTGATATTGCAAAATTACTTAAATATTGGACTCATTTTTTTGGGAATGGCATAAGTAGTTTGGTGTAGTGTAGAAAATATATTGCAAATCATTTTTTGCATGTGGACTCACCTTTGATCTCAACTGTCATATTAAGAGTACAGGAAAACTGCTTTCCCTCACTGGCCATTTTATTCAGGTTTTTTGTGCAATTTTTTTTCTTTTCGGGTGTGCTTGCTGTTGTAGCTACAAGAGAAAGTCAAGACTGCTATATTTTATTTGTATAAATTAAGGGAACATTTTGTGTCAGAAACCAGAAACCAAAAAAAAAAAAAAAAAGAAAAGAAAAAAAGAGGTCTTCACAGATGTGTATGTAGTAGTAACATCAGAGATCCATCCCTTGATTAAATTATTCTTCATGAATAAGCAAACAAATTTTTCTCCATATTTTCTGGCATTTTGCTTTTGATTGGTCAACCTAATCACTTGTCATCTTGAACGGACACTTGACAAACCTTGAAGCATTTATGATACTCAAAATAGCTTCTTTAACAGTTGTGACACTAACAAATGGAAAGAAAGTTAAAAATGTAAGCTTGGAACAAGATGTAAATAGAATGCTGAATAGACTGAGAGAAAGCAAGGTTTCTTTTAGTTTCAAAAAGTCTATTTCTTTTTAAGGTAGAGATAACTCGAAGAAAAGTGATTTTGTTTACAATATATTACCACAGAGGCCATGTGGCGATACTTAGCTGATAGCTGATATTTCTGTACCAAGAACAATATAAACTACATAGAAATAGACCCTGAAGAAATTCCTGACTTTTCTTTATTTCGTCTGCTAGAACATTTATTTTTTTTCCTTTGTGACATAGATTTGCCAGAATCAAACCAATGCTACAATTGCTGTTGATAATTTTATCTTTGCTAATTCTGTGATCAATCAATACAATGTGGACAGGATGAGGCACAGATCGAAAAGACCAACTCTAACAGCCAGCAGCAGCAGCATTGACCAAAGTCTGACCCACAAGAAGTGTTACACAGGTGGCAATAAGTAATATTTGATTGAACCAGGCCTCTTCAGATTACATGAAAAAAAACAAACTTAAGTTTTCCCACTGATTCTCATCACAAAAAATTAATAATTATGCTTATAACACGATACGCTTTGGTCAATCTGGTCAATACCAGACGATATGACCCTTGCCATACCAGAAGATGTCTTGGTCCTCAGGGTCATAGGACAACAAGTTGATTGCAGGATCAATCCCACACTAATCGATACTGTCACTTGTCAACGGTCGTTGGTTACTGCCCGCCCCAGTCCACACCTTGCTCTGCCCACGTTGCATTTCTTGATCACAGTGCTGGTAGGGATCAAGTATCGTCAATAATCATAATGCTGGTTCAAACCATGGTGAAGCTATGCTAGGATAGGAAAAAACATAAAAATGTCTTCACAGATGAAATAAAAATGAAAAAATTCTCCATGTTAATTTTCGATTTGGTTTATGTACTTATTTGGACAACAAAAATTAACCCTCCACACTGAAATCTATATATAACCCATATAACTCATTCCTTCTCTTATTTATGCCTTGCACCATTACTTCTAAATGGGTAGAGGTAATTTCTTCTTCTCTCTTAATATCTCATCTCAGCCCACCACCTTAGCATTCTCTTTGACAAATCTGATTTTATCGGCGGTCTTAATTTTTAGTCATTATTCTCAACAGCAAATTTTCTCAGCTCCTGGTCTTGTTTATGCAAGCAGAGATTTACCACCCGTTTCCTTTGTCCTGCTAATAGCAAGTATTTGTCTTTGTATTTTGTTTGTTTAATTGTACTGATGAACATTACAGGTTTGTTTATATATAAAAAAAAAAAAAAAATCCTATTTCTCAATTTGTTTACATTTCCACTCTTGGACAGTTATAAATCAGTCTCTCAATTCTGCCTTCATCCTCAAATTTCCAAATATTATAACTCAATTAACCCCTTCTTTCATCAGGCAATCACGAGGCATGTTTTGATAACTTCCACTTTAGTAAAGCAGACATAAATCAATTTCTGCTTTTGTTTCCAAAATTCTCAACTGACTTTCACTATTCCTTCTTAGCCCTCAGGGTCTGAAATCTTCCACATGGCCCCTTGATAATATCTTTTCCCCAAACCAATAAAGTCATTCTTTTTTTTTAAAAAAAGATTTTCTGAGCTTCGGGTCATATTTGATGTAGGAATATTGCTTAAAAATTGACTATTGTTGTGAAGTCAGAACAGCTAATATTACAAAACTTCACATAATAACTGGACATGGCAGACTGATTCATTAGGCTAGGTACCAATGAGTGTTGGCTGTTTACAGAAGCCTGTTAAATGATACAACCACACCATATACAGTCTTTCTAATTCCATATTGTAGATGCATAATAATTTAGCAATTTCTCTCAACTGCTACTTTGCATCTACAGGCTGCAAATGTTTTTTCTTTCTTTTTATGACACAAATACTAACCCACTTTGAAGCAATTGAATAGCAGTCGGTTTAATGTTTACACCAGCTTTTAAAATGATCCTATTGATAACAATGTATTGCACGAACTGTAAAAATGTTCATTTCATACCTTCTATAGATAGCAAAGCAAGAACCATATTATACAAAAACTAAAATAAATTCAGCCTTTTTTTTTATATATAAAAACAGTTTCATTATACAAGAGTACTTTTATGCATCAAGTCCCTTCATAATGTTGGCAATCATGGCTCTCCACAATTTACTCATCTTTTGCATTCACATCCTGGAAAACACAAAGTGCATCAAAATACAATCTGTCCAAGCCAAGGATGAAAATAAACAAACTGGATCCCACAAATTCTGGAAGATCACCAAAATTATGAACAGAGGCAAAGCAGTTGTGCCTACTATTATAAATGGTCCAGAGGCCATATGATCCTTGACAGACAGGGCGAAGCTCTTCACCTCAATCTTTGCCTCAAACTCAACATTAGATGACAATGTCTCACTGAACAGAGTTTAAGTAATATACTCATTTCAGCAAGAGAAGTCTCTAGACTTATCAAAAACCTTAACCCCAAAAAAGCTATTCGCCCAGACAAAAGTCCAATGTCAACCTAGAATTATCTTGATTAAGAATATCAAGCCATTATTTACCCCTGATTATAGCAAAGTTATTTAACCACTGCTTGAATGAGAAATCTTTCCCAAACATGTGGACAGCGGCAAGCATATAGACCCATTAGTCTCCTCGGTAAGCTTTTGAAGGCTTAATCAACAAGGTCATCAAGCACCTGGGTTTGGTTAAGCTCAATCTGCTAACATCCTACCATTACACACGTAAATAGTGAGATTCTTGATTACACACATATACTGCAAGGACCATAGCATTAGATATCTCAAAGTAGATATCTTCAACAAAGTTTGTTACAAAGGTTTGCTACACAAGCTATAGAATCACTGGAAGGGTTTTCTCTATTTATAAAATCTTTCCTAACAGGTAGATCCGTCAAGGTAGTTATTGACTGCTAGTCGTCTGATGCCCTGGCAATCAACACAGATGTCCTCCAGGGTTCACTTCTCTGACCAAGCTTCTTTCTGATTTACATAAAAGATCTACCTAAGAATACACTCTGATCATTTGTAAACATCTATGCCAATGATACGACGATATACAGGCACACTTCTAAAAGTCTTGGTGATCAGAGATTGGCAGCTGATCTCTCTTCCAATCTAATACTAACTTCCCAGTGGAGGAAAAACTGCTTCTAAAACCAAACTGGTCATATTCCATCACCACTGATCAGACCATCAACTACAGTCAGTTACAATGAATGAATGTCCCTTAGAGGAGGCACCGTGCCTTGAGAGAATATTGGGCCCTAAACTCACACTTGACCTCAAGTCAAATTCCTATATATAATCCATCACTAAAGATGCAAGTAAAATGATCAGCTCCTTCTACCACTTCAGTAAGTACCTGCTATTATCTACCTTTATAAGAACCAGATCAAACCAGAAATAGAGTACTGTTGATATATTTGAGCAAAAACAATTTCCAGTCTTGATAGTGTTCAAAAGCGTCTCAGAGTCCTTGTGGGAGAATTATTATTTTCCACCCTCCAAGCTCTCACAGGCAGTATGTGGCAAGTCTCTCACTGCTCTATTGCTACTACCATGGAAAGTGCTCTGACAAACTGCAACTCCTGGTTCCACTAGTCAGACCTTCATGACTAGGACCTGCCACCCCACTTACATAGTAACAAATCACCCTCATTCCCTCCATATTCCATTGGTGAGAATAAGATCCACTCAAACAGCTTCTTCCTTTGAACCACTGCTCTATGGAACAGACTCCCAAGAAAATGTTTCTGCAATCATTATAATCTTGACCTGTTCAAGTCTAGAGTAAACCATTATCTTTCCCTCCTATCCATATAAACTACCTCTTAACATAACCCTCTGCTTTGAGTGGCCTCTTGGCATTGTACAGGGTGAAACTTACTGTAAAAAATAACAAAAACAATTTCTGTCCACAAAGAAGAGACTAAAACAAAATTCATTATCTTTCCATGAACAAATTTTGGAAATGGAATTTACTAATGCTTGCTATACAGGGATCATCATGGCTTCACTTCACAAATCAACGTAGTGTACATTCTCCCCTGACTGTTACAGGTTCTCTTATATCAGTTGCAAGACAGGAGTGGGGTTTGGGGTGCAGTTCCTAACAGCAAAAATCATTTGTCTGAAAACAGATTTCACCAAAACCATTAAATCAAATCTTCACTTTGTTAAAAGGTTTACTTCACCAAAAACTCCAAACATAGAAAATTGAAGGGAGATTGCTGTTATATGTGAATGGTGCTTTTCTTAAAGGAGTTATCATTTAAAGATTACTAAAAATTAATTTGATTGTTGCTTATTTATGACAATGAATGATTGCCACATATGTTTGTTTGTCTAAGAGGGATATTTAATGTTAAAGCCAAGAAATTGATTGTCTATTTTCAGCCAAAGGAAATGAAATACAAATAAATAAAAAAAAGAAAAAAAGAAAAAAAAAGAAGAGTCAAATGAATTAATAAGGATTACTTTCCTAAATACAGTGTAACCCGGATATAAGAGAGTTGTCAGGACCGGAGAAGAAGTCTCTTATATCCGGGTTTGGTCTATTTTATATACATTAACACAGGCTCTAATTTGAGACCAGAGAAAATCTCTCTTCTATCCGGGTTTCTCTTCTATCCGGGTTACACTGTATTTAATTTATTTACACATTTCAGACAGGATAAATATTTAAATGTTTTTTAGCCCCCCCCTTTTTACTCATTTTTAAATAATCCTAGAATAAAACCAAAATATTGAGCAACGTTATTATGTGAACAAAGACTTCAGTGATGAATTTATGGAGAAAAAGGTATTCATTATCATAACAAACAATTTTTTTTTAAATGATACATAATTTAAATAAAAAGCAAAAGTTATCTCCCTTTAATTACCTAACTTGATTTTTCAGTGCCGTTAAACATTCAATGAAGTAAAGATTTAACAGTTTCAGTGAAGACAGTTTTCAAACAAATGACATTTGCTTTTATGATTGCCCAGATGTATGGGTGGGGGCAGTGGACAGCAGCTTAGAATAAGAAATCAGAGAAAAGAATACTGAACTGTTATGTGACATCTGTCGTTCTTTACGGCAGTGAATGTTGAACGATTTCCTCAAAGAGGAAGAAGAGACTGGAGGTGACAGAGACGTGGTTCACAGAAGGATGCTAAAGATATCATGGACCGAGCATGTGAGCAACGATGAGGTCTTAGAGAGGTTACAAACAAGGAGGAGGCTTATACTTAATATCAGGAAGAGGCAGCTGAAGTTTTTGGGACACATAATGAGGAAGGAGGGCATGGAGAATCAGATACTCACAGGTCAATTAGAGGGAAAGAGAGACAAGGGAAAACAACACGTGACATACCTGGTGGGCTTAAGCAAGTGGATGACAGAACATGGTTTTGGAGAAGAAGCAGAGGGAAGGAACTTGCTGAGAGCTGTAAGAGATAGGGGGGAGGTGGAGAGCCATCATTGTCTACGTCCTGAAAGGACATGGCACATAAAAAGATAGAGATTGAATTCCAGTTGAGTTTATTACATTCACTTATGCACAAATAAGCTTGGGAAAGGTATGAACTCATTTCATCTCCCCACAGCTATGGATTAAATAGTAAAACTTGTATTGGGGGGAAAAACATTGTTATTCTCACAAAAAAGAAAAATTGTTAATGTAATAGTCACTCACCCAAAAAATAATAATAATCTTACAGTCCTAAAAAATGTATTTCAGCTTTAAATAAACCCACAAAGGGTTGGTGAACTGTAAAAAAAAAAATCAATTGTGATTACCTCCCGCTGAGTGGATATCAACTAGAAATTTGAAGGTTAAGATAGACATGCATATTACCAACTGCAGGCTTTTAAACAAAGGCTTTACATAAAACATGGCCCAGCAAGATGGGATGTCAGAGAGCATTGATTAACATGCAGACGTTTGGGTTACTGCCCTAACACAAAGGCTTTGTGTCATGCTCAGATATACTTTGTAAATATCTACCCAAGGTATATTATTTATAGGTTCAACCAACTAAAATAAGTAACACAAATTTAAAGGCTGATGTAAAACATTTTAATCATTTCTCACATTTTACTCATCAAAAATGGTGGGTGTATATATAGATTGACTGGGGTTTGGGTGCTCTACCAAGGTCACTGTGTCACTTCCTGGCACATTTGTAAGATCTGTTTACTCTGTGAAAAGTCTTATGTATATGTGTGTAGCCATCAACTGACTATCCATTCAATTTCTGCATGACAACAGAATTAAGGTGAGGAAAAAGGAGGAAAGAATATGTGAATAAGGGAAACTTTAAAGGTAAGTAAGAAAGCTAGAGAAAAATGAACAAAGTGAATGGAAAAAGAACACAATGGAGACAAAAGAAAGACAATCAGGTTTGCTCTCTTTAGTGTAATTACTCCTTTACCTCTCTTTTCATGTGGGTGAAGCTTAATTTGTTTTCCTTTAAGATATATATATATATATATATATATATATATATATATATATATATATATATATATATATATATATTTAGTTTATGCAAAACTAAGTAATCCACATGGGTAGACCCAAGGAGGATGATATCCGGAGAGCTCAATGTAAAATTCAGAGCTGATATGTTTGAATAAAAACAGATCACTTTAAGGTTCCATGTAATAAGTTATTTCACCACAACCCCTTTAACAGGGCTCTGGATCATCAGACTTTAAAGTGGTCTGTTTTTATTCAAACATATATATATATATATATATATATATATATATATATATATATTTTAGAACTAAACATTTAATACTAAAAGCCAAAACAATATCCCATATTATCCAATCAGCTTTGTTGCATCCATTCAGTACTAAAACAAATACAGGCTGACAGATCTTCCATCATCTTTTGCCATCTCCAAATATTGTCAGATTGCAGACTAATATAAGATGGTTATCTCTGAGGTAGTCAGCACTGAGCGGCCATATTTCACATTTAACATGCACTCAGTCATACCATCATTTTGGCTAACTTCTTCTATTTTTTTACCAATTATCTTAACTTCTAAAGAGATTTTGAAGAGACCCAATTTAGCATGGCTTACACAACTGTATATACTTTTAACACCTTTTCTTTTGATGAGGGACAGGATACGTGGGTGGTGAAATGTATAGCAGCTCAGAATGATAGGTGATTGTATATAATTTTAACATTTAGCTTTTGATGCTGGACATAATAGATACTAACTAGCCATATCTCAAAAAGCTCTTCAATTTTAAAGGTAAATTAGTTTATAATGAATATTAATAGTTTTGATTAACTTTGAAACTTTATCTTAAAGATGAGGATAGTAGTTTCAAACCAAGTAAAATACAAACTACTAACAAAGCAGTATCCTGCTAGTGTTGAACCACAAACCATAATTAATGTCCAAAGGTAAAACACATGGTTGGCATTAATGTGTTGCATTATGTTTCCCCTCTCCTCCCTATCTACGTATACTTTAGCATCATTTCCATGCCATAATTTTGGTTGTATTCAAGGAGAAAGACGATGATTGACATTGCATTTACACTTTTTAAGCTGACAGGAAAGCAAGAATCCAGCAAGCAAGAAGTGTAAGAGAAGAAACTTAGCATAGAACTTATGGCAACAACAAGTAATTTCAATACTGAAATTATGAGACCTAACTGCCAATCTTGTACTGTGCTTAAGTGATTTTCTCAAACTTCTCAATTTGGTTATTAGAGTTATAATGTTTTGACATCTTCAGGTGTCTTTCAAATCAAACACTTTATTCAATCCATTGGGGTTAGATTGTTCATGTTCCCCTGTACAAGATAGAGAATATACTGTAACATTTAATTCTTCTTAGTTAAAAGTAATGCAACAATTTTGTTTCATCTAATTAGGTCCCATTCTGATCTGCACCAGATGATGGCCAGATGTGAACTAAGAAAGCAAAAATAAAAAAGTCACAGTCTATACCAAGGCTCTGAGCATCACATAAATCACACAAAACAAAAACAAAAAAACAATACATTATAAAAGAAGCCAATCATGAATTTTGCCACCAAAGCAAAAACATGAAAAAAAAATCGTGTTATGATTCACTACATCTACCTTTAAGAATGCTGATCACAACACTGTAGGTAATCATGGCAAACTGTCAACATCACCACCAGTGACCTCAGTCAACCAACCCTACGCACACTACTCCAGGTCCGCAAAGAGACATTCTGCCATGATCCTCTGTATCCACAATACAAAGAATTTTATCTTAACAATTCTGGTCTTCTTTCTTTTTCACCTCACCAGCAGTACTCGTTTCATTTGCTCTCTTGTGCTACCATATGCACGTTTATAGCACTTACATCCAAAGGATTTATAAAGACAACTGAAATAGAATTGAACATACAAAAAAAGGAATTGTATGATTCTAAAATATGGTGGGAGGAAAAACCAAAAAAAAAAAAAAACCAAACTCCAATCTCAATTCTCACAGGTGATGTGACAAATAAACCACACCCTTGTCAGCTGCACTTTGAACAGGTTTTTAAAAAAAAAACAAGATTTTTTTTTTCCTTAAGTATTTCTAAAATGTTTATAAATATTTATTTACCATAAAGCCCCTTGTTGAGAAAGGTGCGTAGATTTGCATAGTTGGGGTGAACACTGGAAACTTTGGATTTAAGGGACTTCATAAACTGGGCGCTTCCGTTGGTAGTAGGTGGACGCGAGCTGAAAAGTGCGAAAACCACCGTTTTAGATATTGGAACTTTTGTTTTTTTTTTGTTTTTTATCCTTATCCTTAACATGTCTGGAATTATGATATTAAAAAAAATCCCCTTCTCCACAAGACTGGACCTCTATCCTCAGTTTTTTCTCCCCACTTTGATATTTTAACTGCATAATTTTAATAGAATCCTTCAGTTTAACAATGTCACCAATAAGTATTGGTCACTGTCCTTGATATTATATGTGCCCTCTATTATTGTTATCATGTTTCAATCTAGAGGAGTAAAGTGTTGGTTCATGAATTTGAGAATATAGTAATTATGAGTTCAATCCCAAGGGCGAGCAAGTATGTAATGGAACTCAGCAGAATCAGGGAGAGCTAAAACTGAGCAGCACTGAAATTAGGAGATATCCCTAGACATGGGCAGTGGAACAAAAACAATCTACCATATCTGTCTATATTTCTGAGATGAGGTATTGTAACTATTTATACTATTTACATTGTTCAAACTATTGTCCTCAAGGACACAGTGATTAAAATCATTGGTTGAAGTTATCAATGATTTGACCCAAAGAGTTGTGAGTTCAATACCTGACAAAAAAAAAAAAATCACACACACAAAAATAACTTAGAGAGTTGAGTTACTAAAGGAAAATAAATACTAGATATCCAGAAAATGTATGGAACAAGAACAATTTATGCCAGTAGATAAAATAAAGGGTTCAGTTTGAAATTCCAGCATGTATCACCTGAAGAAGGCCAGAGTATACAATGGCTGAAACACTGTGAAAGATGAAGATAATAGTTGAGGGTGGACATAGGAGAGGATGCTAACATAAAAACTGGTTGAACAATGTCAAGCAATGGACAGGTATGACTATACCAGAATTGCTGATGGCTGCTATTGATAGATCATTGTGGAGATTTAGTGTGGCTTTTGCATTCGGAAACACAATTACAAAAGTCAAGGGGATGAGGAAGATAGATTCGAAGTTCCCTGATCGACATACACCTGATGAAGGCCAGAGGATACAACATCTGAAACGTAATGGCAACAACAACAAAAATGCAGTCAATAGTCTGCATTTCACTCACATTGTAGCAAACCACCTATGTTCCCTCCACATTCCATCAGTGAGAAGCGAGTTCCACTCAAACAGCTTCTTTCCGCAAACCACTGTTCTGGGGAACAAACTTCCAAGAGGATGTCTTCCCGATCAATCATACAATCTTAATCTGTTCAAGTCTGGAGTTTTCTTCCCCTCCTATCTGCATAAACTGCCTCTTATATAGCCCTCTACCTTGAGTGACCCCCAAGCCTTGTATAGGGCGAACCTTACTGTAAGGTAAATATTGTAAGTAATGATAGCTCCTCATTCCAGAAATTCAGATAGAAATATAGAATAGAAATAGGACAACATTAAATTGATATACATGCCAAACTGAAATAACTCATTAGAATATTCCCAGATGATAATTCTTCATGGACAGATTGAACGACTGTGAGTTTGGTGCAAAGAGACTAGAAAAGTCATCATTAACGGTTATTATCATTTTTGGCCATTAATTTATTCTACCAACTCAGTATGCATACAGATGCAGGCTCAGTAGTTAATATTCACACCAACCAAGTTTTGCAAAGTTTCATAAGTATTATATTTACAAAGTCTGTATTGGGGCTGAAATAATTGTATACTCTCCACAAGCACTAGAAATAGGTGTTCAAACATAGTAAAAGTCAGGATTATGAATGCTGATTTTCAAGGCAAAAAAGAGCCTCTCTACTTGGATGACCAGCAAAAAAACAATCTTTTTACTTTTAATTTTTCCCCATTCATGCTGTACACAGCTAAATTCAATAAACATAGACAATTTCATCACCATCGGTTGTTAAAATAACTTTGTACTTCTAAGCAGACTTTAGCAAAATGAAAGTATCTAGAATAGCATATTGTATACACAAAATGAATTGCTATACTGTTGAAGATTTTGAAAGTATCAAGATGAACATGCATGTAAGCAATAAGACTCTTATCCAAATGTGTCTAGATAACCAATCAGACTCATTTATTTTATTCCTTGGCCAGGTACATAAACTTTTCAATTTAAGAACAGACTGTCACCTCAAAGTTGCCCAACACTGAGAATCTTAACTTGCCGTATTCATTGGATTTAATATGCAACAGACTTCTTTCCTGTTTAATGCACAGGTTTCCTTATCAGTAGAAAAATTCAAGAGATAAATACTTACACAGGCCTTGGAGGTTTCACTGATACTTTACTGGGGCCTTTCTCATTAGATTTATCACGGGATTTATCATGGGACTTCACATGATGATGTTTCTAAAAAAGAAAAATAACCAAAATATATATGCATTCATGCTGCTTCAGTATACATGTTTACATTATTGTTGTAGAGTAGCTAGCACCCATTCAGCACTCTACCAGATGGCCTGGCTCATAGCCTTATTTAGTCTACGATTAAGGACTTCAACAGTTGATTAATAAGTTGATACTAATCTGATTAATATTCGGACTGATCTTCATTTGGCTATGCAGCATTTGACCCTCCTCTATTCCTTGTAAGTTGTCTTGTTAATTGTTTTGTAACTTATCGTCCTGTGTTTTTTTTTGTATTTATCCGTTAGCACCAGATACTAGTGCTGAATAAATATATTAAGCACTCATGCTTCACTGTGTATCATCCACCTCGACGATACAACATTGTGTTTTTTTTTCCAAACACGTCTGGCTGAATAATATTGACAAGTTCTGTCAATCCAATATTTTATTAACTTTTTCAAGTAATATATTATGTTGTTTAATCTTAACTTTTGTTTCATTATATACTATTATACACACACACATTATATATATATCCAAGCCAAGCCTAAACCATACTTTATTTAACAATGGAAGTTATAGTGTCACTTGATGAACAGCAATAACTAAAATGGATAGCATACATAACTGTAAGGTAAAATGAGAAAAATGTTTACTTTGCCCACAAAAGTTTAAGAAGGAAACTTTCATCAATACAAGAAAGAGTGATAGTGGACTTGAGAAGCCTATTTTCCTCAAAAACTATTTTAAGAGAAATATTTTTATAAAGTTCAATTGACAGTAATTCTGTTTGGTCAGTGAATGCTGAATCTTTCATGTATGAAACAGTTAATTTCACCAACACAAAAGTAGAGTTTTTCATCTAGAATCCTGGACTGTTTCAACAAGAATTAAATGAATTATTTTCACAGTGGATGTTTCTCATTGCTGATAATAAGGATTTTTTTTTTTAAGTCCATTTTCATAAATGTGACAAAAGTTTCTGAACTGTCTCATAATAATAGCTAGATTGTTACACCAGATTAATTGAATCAAAACAGACACCATTACTAACCTTTGATGATATTCTGGCATTCAAGTTGTGCACCGAAACCTTGAGCTTTTCAACTGCACTTTCTACTTCATCCAATCGCTCAGAAAGGTGCTTCATTTCTTGGCGGCTTATGTCATCCATTTCAGAATCGGCAGAAGATTTCAGCTTAATCAACCTCTCCTTAGTATCAGCCTGTTCTTTCATGACATGCTTCAATTTCAACTGCATGCTATCCTGTGTTCTCTGCAGATCTTTGATCTTGGAAATAGGTTCCTGTGGAAAAAGAATTTTGTTAATCTATCAATCTCATTTCAATTTTGGCTTGCCCATCGCTCTCACACTTAGTAGTCCATCTGTCCATCTCAGAGCGCTACCTATCTATATCAGACTATCCATCTACCTCTTAGTATCAAGAGCCTGTGTATGAGGATTAGAAATTAATGTCACCATTTTGTCCCAGGGGCAATAGAACATTAAAATCATTTCTGGTTTCTAAGACAATGCCAGGATAATAAAATTCTAATTACAATTCCATTATATTTATTCGAAACATAACTAACCTCTACTGTTTGCAGTAAGAGTCTTACAGTTAACAGCCATCATGACTTTTTGTTTAATTTTAAGAACAGGAAATCTATATAATAAATGCAGATGGCAGTCTGTGACACTTTTTCAACTTTACTCCTAGAAGCTGTAGACCAACATATCATACCATTTTGAAATCAGGCTGACTCCATGAGCTAATTAAAAACATTCCGGAGCTGGATCTGGATCCACAATCTTGACATTTTCGATTCCCAAGTTTTCATTACTATGATTGTTTTCAGATTCTACCATCTTGGCTTCTACTGATAAAAACAATTAAAGGGACACAACTCTTTAAGTTTCAATAGCTCATGTTCAAATGGAAACACTGCTGTTCTCAAATTACAGTGTTTCAAAATTAAATTGTCTGTGTTTTCATTTTTACTCCTAGAGGCTGTAGCCCAACATATTATACCATTTTGAAATCAGGCTGAAATCATTTGATAATTTTTTTAACTTTTGTTTTTTTTTTTTAAGCTTTTCATCCCAAGCAAGGCGGGAGTACCACCAACACACAAGGGGTTACAGAGAGTGGGAACAAGAGTAAAGAGGCATGATAGAGGAAAAAATGAAGAGAAGAACAGGGAACAGATCAAGGCATCTGGAGATGTCAATTGATATTGCATTTGAATAGTTGGAGATTATAGCTATCAGGGAAGCAACTAAGAGGAAGGGTGTTCCACAGACAGTAAGTGCGAGACATGAAGCTATTGGAGTAGAAGAGACGGCTATATTTAACTGAAATGACAGTAAAAGGGTGGGACTGAAATGCCAACCTAGTAACACGCTTAAATTCATGCAGTTTGGGAACTAGTGAAAGTAGCTCGTCAGATCAGTTGTCATGAAAGTATTTGTAGACAAGAAGTGACGGCATGTCTGTGAGAGAGCAACTGTAAATGAGATGCCAGATCAGGGCCAACCACATTGCATATCCGTCGCTGGATTTTGTTGAGGACCTTAAGACAAACAGTGGGGGCTCCAGACCACATATAGCAGCAATATTCCATGCAAGGGCGAATGGTTGATTTATAGATTTGAAGGATGGACTCAGACGAGAAAAACTTTCTGGCACGATACAGAGAACTAACTTTCCTTGAGGCAGATGACGTTATTGATTCAATGTATTTGTTCCATCTCAGGTCAGTGGACAGGGTGGGACTAAGCAGTCGCAAAGTGGTGCTCTTGTGGAGTTGAGCATCATACATTCTAATGGGAGGCAGAGAGGATTCTCTGTGATGGGTAATAGAGAGCAGTTTGTTTTTTTTCAGCATTAAAGATAACCAGCCATTTCCTGCCCTAGTCAACAACTAATTGGAGGTCCTTTTTGGAACCAATGGCCAGGTTAGTTTTGTCAGTGATAACTGATTTGCTATTGAGGCAGGAGTGAATAGTAGTGTCATCTGCATAGATGCCTACTTGAGAATTGATGACATTGGGAAAATCATTAATGAAGATAAGGAACAGTGTAGGGCCCAGGATAGAGCCTTAGGGAACACCTACAGTCGTGAGAAAGGAACTGTAGGATAATCTGTTAAGGACGACATTCATTACACAGTTTGAGAGGAGTGATCGTATTAAGTCAAATAATCATCCTGAAATACCGTATCCCTGAAGTTTACAAAGGAGGCCGGTATGCCAAACCCTATCAAACACTTTAGAGATATCTAGAGCCATGGCATGAGCTTCTTCGTTATTGTGAAGTGCTTGGTAAATAAATTCAGTTATGGCTGTGAGTACAGCAGCTGTAGATCAGGCAAAGCATATTGCTTGTTAAAGAGCAGATCATGGGATGTAAGGTGCTTAACCACTTTGGTGTTGATTAAAGCTTCAAAGACTTTGCTGAAGAATGGTAGGAGACTGATAGGACAGTAATTAGAAGGGTCTCCAGAGTTCTTGAAGACAAGTACAACAGATGAAGACTTCCAACAGGATGGAAAGCAGGAGTTGTTGAGGCAGTAGTTGTATAGTTTGGAGAGGACAGGAGCTAGTTCAGGAGCACATTTCTTCAGGTCAATGGCTAGTATCCTGTCCCCACCACTAGCCTTATGGGCGTGTAATTTAGAGATGATGGCCAATACCAATATCATTACAGGTTGAGACAAATAGACATCTGTTGCAATCTGACATGTCACTGTGGTACAGGCAAAAGAAGTGATTCCTATGGGCAATGGCAGCTGAACAAGCAGCAGAGAACCAAGGGGATGAGCGCAATTTAATCTCGTATTTCCTTGCGGGGATGAAAGCCTTGATTCCAGCTTTTACCCAGGAGGACACTTCGGAAGGGCATTCTTGAACGGGAAGATTAAAGACCACATTCCAGGGGACATCGCAAAGGAAATCACGGAACAAGTCCCAGTCAGCTCATTGATAACAGAAAGATGTTCTTTTGGTAGGAAGTTCTTTGCTGGGGTGGAGTAAAAGATGTTGACAAACACTACAGCATGATCAGAGTTGCTCAGAGCTGCATGGTACGACAAGACTCAGGGATGGAGGTGAAACAGAGATCAAGAAAGGAAGGCTTATCGTCCTGGTTACTGGGGAAACTAGTGGAAAATCAACCATGTGTGTGAGGGATTGAGTAATTGAAAAGTTAAGGGTTCATATGCCTGCAAGGTCAGTTATAGAGTTTTTAAGCCACTTGGTATGGTGGGCTTTAAAGTCACCAAACACAAATATATGAGCAAATGGATGAAGAGAGATATCCTTGTCTATATTCTCGGAAATGATTTTGAGTACACCAGAGTCTTGGGAGGATGGAGAACAAAAGAGGAAGAAGAGGTAGCTTACAGCATTGAAGAGAGATAGATGGAGACACATCTATGAATGGTATGGAGATTCCAGAGAGAGCTCCCTAGCCAATGGGAAATGGTTCTTGACGTAAATTCCTACCTTAGAAAAGATTTTCTAAGGAAATGAAGGTAACCAGGGATCGAGAGGTCAGGGGAGGAGATGTTGGTCTTGTAGAGAGCCAGTATATCAGTAGACTTCTCAATGAGGAACAATTCCACACTGCAGAAGTTGGTTCAAATGCCACGGATGTTAGAAAAGGAAATGTTAAAAGGTTTAGGTGTTTTTTTTTTTAGAGCTGGTTTAAGTTTACTTTTTTGATCATTTGTTGTCATGTTGGGTAATGTTGGTAGTGAAAATGAGAATGCCTGAAATAAAAGTAGCAGACGGTTATCTTATGTGACAAGGGCAAAAAGGAGCTCAGAATGAAGAGGCTTTGCCACAAACTGCACACATCACAAGAGAATCATGACAGTACTACTATGGAGGCCAGAGAGAAGGAAAGGAAAAGTTCCAGGAACCCAGTCCAAAACAAAAAACATGGGGTGAGCCTCTACTCTTGTTCAAGAGAAGGGAGAGGAGTATTGACAGGGTGATAGGAAAGCCTACCTACTTCTATTACATGCACATTATCACACACACACACACACAAAAAGACAAGCAGCTTATAAGAAGTCCAAGAACAACGTGCAAAGCACTTAGTGTTGAAACTGAAATATAAAGTTTTAAGTTAGTTAAAGTCCCAATATGTACTTCTTGAGTACAAAGAGCTCCTCATCTGAGAGCCCAGGAACTTATATCGTTCACTTACTGCAGGAGTCAGTGAAAAAAAATCAAAAGAATTTATCCAAACTTTTAGAAAAACAATGAGGACTAAATTCATTTCAATTAATATTAATAAATAAAAAGAAAAAGAAACAAATATACAGAAAACATTTCATAACATGGTACAAACAAAGGCAAGAGAAGGTAAATTAAAATGAAATTAGTACAAAAATTTGAAGAAAAACATGCAATGGAGATTGGCAAGGATATTTATGTGTCCAGCGAGGTTACTTAGAAGAAAGTAAAGCCAGGAATATGTATGCCTCAACCGTGAGCCTGCAATTCATATCGTTCACTTTTTGCAGAAGTCAGCAAGAAAAAAAAATTCAAAGAATTTATCCAAAGTTTTCAAAAAACAGTGAGGATTAAATTCACTTCAATTAATAAATAAAAATAAAAAAAAAAAAAAATACAAAAAATTCAAAATCAATTGCAAAATCCAGCAAGAGTCACCTATGAAATAAAATAACATTTTGTATGGACCGTAAGGATCTACGTGCATCAAACTGTCTTTATATTAAGTAGTGGCAGAAGAATTATCTGTTTTGGAGTTATGAACAATAAAATTTCAAACTCACTCACATCCGCCATTACTGGCATTGTTTACATACATTCGCCTCGGAGCAATCAGTCACAGAACCTTACTTAGTTAATAGCCTTTTTACTGATCTTACTTGTCTCAATTACTGCACAAGGGTTAGTGTTCTGACTGAATGACTGCTCCGAGGCAAATGTAAGTAAACAACACCAGTAATGGCTGTCGTGCTGTAGCCACAACGTGAATGAATCTGAACTTTTATTATTGATAACTCCAAACGGTAGATTTTAGCAAAATTTCTTTGTTATTTTCAAATTAAACATGTACATTTACACCTTAATGTAACTATTTAGGAAACTTTTAAAACGTAAGCTTAGATATTAATACTATACTTAAATGCAGCAATCAATTTTGAATTCTTCTGTAGTTCATTAGTGTATTTACTCCTGCCTGCCTATTGTGATGAAAACCCAATTAAGAGCCTTTCAATAGGGCAGCTTTTAAGCTAGTTTAAAATATTGCTAATGTGATTTTGACAGAATTGAAGGCATGGAGTTTTACCTGAGCAGCCTTCAAAGTGGCTAATTCGGACTGGATATCATTCAACTTCAGGGTCATTTCTTCAATCTGTGTCTTAATGTCACTTTGCGATAAAGTCATTGATTCCAAGGATTTTGTTGTCTTCTCAACTTTGTTCACTGTATTCGTAAGGCGTGTGTGTTCTTCACCCTGTTTTGCTTTCACCAGAGCAATATGCTGTTGCACTTCAGCATTAGAGGTTTGTAGATTCTGGTACGACTGTTGACAAAGACAAAAATAGTAAGAAAGAAAGAAAAAAAAAAGCAATGAAAACAAATATTCATATGTTCAGTCCCCGTTATTAGTCTAAGTATGATATTTGTGTTTCAAATAAATAGGGTAGTTGGAATTCTTTTATAATTTCCAGCTATAAAATACTTTGTCCTAAAATTCTAAGAGCCAAAGGAGCATATTTCTGAATATTTGTTAAAAAGGGGAGGGGATTGGAATAAGGATGTCTTGGGTGATTTTTTTGTCACAAAACAAATAATCATCCTGGACATCTATTTGAAAGTGAACTCAAAAGTAAAGAAATTAAACCTTTTTTTTTTTTGTTTGTTTGTTGATAAAAGCAAATAAAAACATTCGGGTAATTTGCAGTTTAGGATCCACACTCAGTTTCTATTAAGAATTTCCCGAATAGTTACATGCTTAATATGAAAATAACAAATATATTTTGCTAAAATCTACTGTTTTGGAGTTATGAACAATAAAATTTCGAACTCATTCACATCCGCCATTACTGGTGTTCTTTACATACATTCGCTTCGGAGCAATCAGTCACAGAACCTTACTTAGTTAACAGCTTTTTGACTGATCTTACTTGTCTCAATTACTGCGCAAGGGTTAGTGTTCTGACTGAATGACTGCTCCGAGGCAAATGTAAGTAAACAACACCAGTAATGGCTGTCGTGCTGTAGCCACAACGCGAATGAATCTGAACTTTTATTATTGATAACTCCAAACGGTAGATTTTAGCAAAATTTCTTTGTTATTTTCAAATTAAGCATGTACATTTACACCTTAATGTAACTATTTGGGAAATTTTTATTAGAAACTAAGCATGGGTCCTAAACTGCAAATTACCCAAACATTCTTTATCAAAAATCAAGTGTAAGAAAAAGTTACAGTTGTAACCATATTATTAATAATGCTTGCATTAATTCCTGACCATTGACAATTCCCTTTAACTCATTCACAATGCATTTCTATAGTAAAACAAATCTACAGAAATACATTTATTTATATGCTACATATAATAGCCCTATTCTGTCAGTAACACTTGCATTCATTCATTCCTGACCAGACAATAATCCTTTTCTTCAATAGGTATTTCTACAGTAAAACTATTAGCAATACATTATAACAAGAGCACATGCAATACAATTCTTTAATAAATGCTTTAGTAATGCACTTCTACATTAAAATTATTAGAAATTCATATACTTTACAATTATAATGGATCTATTCTGACAGTAATTCTAGCATTAATTCCTGGCCATTGATAAAACATTTTCAACTATAATGAATTTCTAAAGAAAAATAATTGCAAATTCATTTCTATAGCAAAACCATTAAAATCTATAGTAAAACTCTTAGCAATGTCTTTATATTTTACACATAACAGCTCTAGTGGGTCAGTAAATAATTGCATTAATTCCTGACCATTAACAATTCCCCCCCTCATTTGTAATGCAAAAATTAAGTGTGCTAACGTGTTACATGAAAAATATATGCATATAACCATATTCTCTTGATAATGCTCAATTTTAATTCCTGACCAGTGACAATCCCCTTTTCCTCATGTTAGCAATGCATTTACATGAAGCATACAACCATGTTCTGTTAGCAATTGCCTTACTTAACATTTAAGTTAACATTTTGCATTAATTCCTGACCACTGACAATACCCCTTTATTACTTTCAGTCCACAACATACTAACTGAATGATAAAACTTATTAATAACACATTTTAAATTAATATTTGGTTTAAATTAATATTGAGTGTATTTTTCCCTACCACTAGAGATATTTAGTTTGTTTTTGCAAGAAATTACTGAAGTCAAATTGTACAAGTGAGGATTTGAATGGGGGAACAAACCCATTGCACAGACGAGGACCCTTTAATGGATACAGCTTAACACTTTAGGGTTCAAACCACCCATACCCACTCTATAAATATTGACTCTCAATGTTTAACCTGCCCCATATATACTTTGCCATAATATATGTTGACATTATTGAAAATAATGCAGGAAGTCAGTTTGAGAGCCAATATTTTTGGGGGCGGGTTAAATAGATTGGTTCACTTGTAAAAAATATGGAAAAATTTGTTTGGAAAATAATTTTTGTATATTAGCATTCTTTATATCTTCCTTAGATCATGCCATTTGTCAGACTTGAAAAATATTGATATTTTAAAATTTTTTTTTTTTTTTTTTCACTGTAACTAGTTCAAAAAGTCATTTATTGTCTACAGATGTATGTACGGGCATTGGAAGAAGAACGAAGTAACGAGAGTCAAGAAAGAATTTTCTAAGACCTCATTAAGCTTGCTTATGTCAGTCTGTGTTTCTTTTATTGTCTGTTCCATTGCCCGCGTTTGAGTACGAAGTGTGTTTACAGATGTCACTGTCTCTTTGGTGTCCTCTCCGTTATGGTCGATTCTGGTTTGTAGCTCCGTCAATTTCTTCCGGTTGTTTTCCTCCGAATTGCCCAAGTGTGACATGTCCTCAATGATTGTGGCCTGTGACATTTTGATTTCCTTAAGTTGGGGTTCCAGCTACAACACAAACAATAAAAACATTATATGAGAAGTTCTGTATTAATGTAGCTTACAAAAATGAACACAGCCATTACTTACTCTGATGTTACAGAAGCTTTGGACAATGACGTCTTTCACAGTTGCTTTCTTAGATGTCTTTAAAAAGCAATTAGAAGAATTTTCTTGAAAATTATTGCCTATGAAGAAAATTAATCACAGTGAATCACATTCTGCAATAATTGTTTCAGCTAATGTATAAAACTTTTGAGAAGAGTCATTAGCATTTCAGATTTTGTTTGGACAACTTATTTTTTTAATCATTTCATCCCAAACAAGGCAATAAAGCCACTAAGATGCAAGAGATGACTGAGTGTTAGAGAATATGATAAAAAATATACTATTAAGGAGAGAATACAATAAAAGAAAAAGAATTAAGACAGAAGACAACTGAATTACTCCGCCTCTTCCTCTTTGTTCTGGTTAGTGTCTTGGTCAATCCATTCTTCAGCCTTTATCAAGGGGGGGGGATCTAATCTCCTCAGAAAATGGCAATGGGAGAAAAATATAGTATTCATTCTATTTTTTTTCTTTTTCTTTCTTGAAACCATTTCCTGGACAAGTAAATTTATTCCAACTTTCTAGTGTGTGTGTGTGTGTGTTGAGTTGATTAAAGGATTGACTAAAACAATGCATTAGTAAAATCAAGAGCATAAAGGAGGAGTTCAGTTCACCAAACCAAATTTGTAATCATCAGAACCATACACTTGACCTCAAAGTTTAATTTTATGTTAATTATTTTTATTAAACATTATCAATATCACAAACAAAAAAATTTACCAAATGAGGAAAACCACATGACTTAAGGACTTCTAACAACGGAAACAACTAAAATGGATAGTATGTCATTTAGAGAAAATAATATCATCAAGATGTTAATGTTCTAGACTACTTTAAGCAATGAAAGCCACCATCAATACTGGAAAGAGCAATAACAGTTAATGGACTTATTCTATTTAAATGAATGGCAAATAGCTATGAGTTATTAAAGATTTCAGTCACTAGGTGCTCAAATCAATGAATACCATATATTTCCTTATAAGGAAATGTCTAATATTACCATTAGAGATACTACACTTTGATCCCAGATCAATGGCCAGGGAATGAAAAAAAGAGAAACTAGAATAGCACTGTCAGCTTAGTGAATGAATACGAAATGTTTCCTCATAACAAAAGAACTAATATTACCATTAGCATTTCTTTGTTCATTTCAAACCAGACTGAACTTCGCTGACCGAACCAGACTAATTCTGCTTAACTAAAGGAAAACATATTTTTACAAGTATATTGACAAATGAATATGTGGGTAGCATAACATTTATCAAGCCAAAATCACTTCAAAGTTGCCATTTTGCAATTGCATATGTTAGCAAAGCATAACCATCTTCAAGAGACTTAAGATCCCTTCAGAGTCACACTGTAGTGTCAATTAAGTATAGGTATCATTTTATAAATAATTTCCTTGAAAATAGACTTTCAAGTCTCATGTGTGCTAAAACTATTTTATTTAAATATTTTTTATTAAACAATCATTTAAATTGTTGCTGTTTATTTTTTTTAAATAATTGTATTAGATAAAAAGGTTAAATTAAAAAGGATATAAAATCATTTTTGAAAGTGCAATGATATTTAATATTTTTTATTTAATATCTTTTAGCTAAATAAATATTTAAGATGCTTATATAAGGCAGGTTTATGTGAGTGATTTGAGTACTCAATTGTAAAATTGATACAATTTTGCTGATCAAATTTTACTAATATTTCTAATGGTGACACTAAAAAAAAAAAAAAAAACGATCATAATTCAATAGTACTAAAAGGCACCTTCACAGATTTGGAATACCTATTGATTTTTTAAAATGGAAAATCTTTCTTGAAGCTTTTATTTTAGTTTTAATTTCAAGTTAATAGATTTTATTTAATATTTCCAATAAGCAAAATACTTTTCTCTATTTCAAAACTAATCTACATTGACTGGAAGGAATATTTTGTTTTGCTAAAAAATCTAATTTCTGCACCATTTTTAGCTGGCATTTATCACTATGTAATTCTCTTTATTAAAAAATCTTCCAAAAATAAAATATATTTCTCTGAAACTTTGAAAAATATTAACTGATTTAATCAGATCTGAAACAAATATTTACTTTAAGTTTATAATATCACAGAAATGCATTTTTTAACACAGCAGTAGATGTTTATTTAAGCTGTTGACATGTTGACAGTTTGATGACAGGCTGATGTTTATCTAATATTGTTCTACAGGGGCTTTATCTGTAAAAAAAAAATCACTGAAGAATATAACATGAGTCCCTTTTATAATTAATTTTTAAGTACATTTGATTATGGAAACATATTCTCCATAATCTAATGTTTTACTGAATTTTAAATACTTTGGCTATAAATTTACCATAGTTATTGTGCTTATTTTTTGATAATGTCAAGTATGAATACCCGTATCTACAGAAATCAGAATGTTTATACACATACAAACAAAATATTGAAAATTCTTTTTAAAAATATTGGTGTTTGATGAACTGTACTAAGCTTTTCAATTTATGGTAAGTAAATATAGTTATTACTTAATAATTATATCTAAAAAGGTGAAATTAATACAGAAATTTAAAACTTAATAACTTATACTAATTTAAAAAAATGCATTATTCATCAAAAAAAGTTCTCTTAAGACAATAGTGTCCTTAATATATCTTATTTATAAAATTAATTAAAAGCTTTTCTAGTTGAATAATATCTTAGATTTATTGCATTTTTTTATTTTACAATTCAGAGCAGATTTTTGGTAAATGGTGTTTCTGTTTTACAAAAAAATTGATGATTTAAATTATCTAAGGAGTCCTGCTTTTAACTAATATATTAAGAGGATGAAAATTTAATTTCTTGAAATTTCGTAAAATTAAGTAAGTGGTGGTGGTGGTAGGGGGGGTAGCAGATGTTAAAAAAAAATTTTATAAAATTCTAATTTCCAGTCAGAGAGACAACATTTAGTATGCTGTCTCCAATAAATAAGGAAAAAAAGAAAGCAAACTGCTGCCCTGCCAGAACAGAACCAGTGTAATGATATTTAATATTTTATTGTGCTGATCGTATAAAAGGATTGCCATTTGTTACCAACGATTTCTGTCCATGTTACTCAGCATTATTTGAAATTCATTCATTATCATTTATGTTTCCGGTGTCTCAGCAAGAATTTCCAAATTTCTTGTTTTTTACTAAAATTTCCTATACTAATCTTTGGTCATCCTCCGCTGATGCAAGAAAAATAAGATTTTTAACCAAAATTTCAAATATGATAGAAATGATTAAAAAATTCATTAAATAATAATAATAATAAAAAAATACTTTGGTCTTTCCTCTTAAAAACAATAAAGATTTTGAGGATAAACATTTGTTTTTATCAAGTTTGGGGCATTTTTTTCATCATGGTATACTCTTTTTTCAGCAAATTAGAAAGGAAGGAGTCATTTAATCTTCTTTATTCTTATATTAAATCTTACCTTACCAAATGATAAGAAAGATTAAAATATAAGATATTTATATGCATGAAGAAAATGGTAACTTACCTCATCAAATCATGTGACAACATGTCACATGTTAACTGTCAGTGAAAAAAAGAAAGCTCACATGACTTCTCACTTTATATAGAGAACGTCATGCAAATGTGTGCCACTTCAACCAATCACTAACTTTCTATGTTACATATAAACAGAGTGCCCCAAATGCCAGGACTTGCCCCAGTTTCCTGGCTGACTGCAATGTGTGAAGGGCAGTTTTATGACCTGCAGACTTGCAGCTTTTGACTTGCAAGTTTTTGGTTTTATTTTTGTAATTTCTAGAATTCTTCAACTACAAGATATTTTGGCACAATGACAGATAACACATTTATTTGTTACACTTATGTTATACTTGATTTTGATGGTTCAGCAACCAGTTATTGAATAAATTGAAAGATAGCAACTTGTCTATGAACTCTTTGGGATTAAATGACTCCTTCCTTTCTGATTGTCCAGCAGAGCATTCACTCTCAGCAGCTCAGTACAGAGCAAAAATCTGATGCTGAGCAGATAAAATGAGCACAATAAATTGCTTTTGGAGCAAACTGTTCTTGACTAATGAGCAATTTGTGGTGCTGTGATTAAACCCAAATGAGTCCATCCACATCTTTTCAGCAGATTTGAAGAAGCTCACAGGCCTATTCAGTGGAACATCAGAGCAAGGATAGGCATATGTGTTCCTAGCAGAACTGCCACATTACAGTGAGCAATTGTTGCATATATTCTCCAGAATGGAAAAACTGACTATAAATCAGCAATTTGACCGAGCACGATCCATAAAGCAGGATCAAAAGGTGACTAAGGAAATATTCTGAGGAGGCTGGCACTTTACCAGTTGAAGTTGTAGCTTGTAAACCTCCAACTGGTAAACCATGTGACAGCATTAGATATTGATGATTTTCCACTTTTCAAAGGACTTCCAAGTTAAATGAGATGAGACACATGCCTACCATTCACAAAAGACCTTCACAAAAGTTGCAATGCTTCCAATGTCTGGGAAAGAAGAAAGGCACAAGATGTCAGAATTGGTCAGTTTCCCAAGCAGATCAAAGTGAGATACTACCATAGACATTCACATGTATGTCAGTAGTACTGGTGGACACTGGCTGTTCATAATCACTTGCAAGTAGTCTGTCAACCTTGACGGGAAAAAGTGGTGTGAAGTTGGAAATATCAAACTGGGTGTAAACAATATAGCTCCTGGACATCAAAGTTTTTGTAGTAGGTGGACAGTAATTGGTTTTTGACACTATTATAAAGCTGGGTGGACTCCAAATACCAGAGTCTGGCAATGTACATTTTCCTAATCATGAGAATGTCACTTTGCACAGTCATTTAAATTTGATGAGCCAGATTTCTGTGCAGAATTCGACCAAAACAAGATTTTTATATTATGTATATTTTATACACAATTGTACATATTGGGATTTTTAACTCAGTAGGTGCCCAGTGTGTGTGAGGTATTTTGGTGCATGAAGGAGCGAATGGTGACGAATAAATTCTTATGACGAATGAATATATTGTAACGAATGATTGGGTCGTGAATCCGATTAGCTAGGTATAAGATAGCTAATGATGACCAACCTTGTCCAGTCTCCCCCCTTTTTTGGCCTTGTGCCACAATTATTGTATCATTAATAAATCTTAGACAAGAATCATGGAAGTGGTCAAGCATCAGAGAATTTGTGGAATAGAATGCTTGAGCATCCAATACCAAAAGATGTCAGAGAAATATGAATGCAAACTGCAGACATGGCTGGATAACAGTCTGTGGCAACCTTATCCCTAAAAGAAACTTTGTACATAAGAGGTTTGATCCTACTGATGACAGTGAAGCAGTTAAATAAAAGCAAGCACAAGGCCTGAGAAATTGAGTACCTAGTGAGTTTCACATCCACGAATGTACTATGTACTAAACTAAAATAAATACTGCTTTTAAAAACTTTTATCTGGTTCATTTTATGTATCTCAGTAATCTGACTTTTTTTTTTTTTTTTACATTAAGGCTCACCCTGTACAAGGACCAGGGGCAACTCAAGATAGGGGAGTTATGTTAAGGGTTAGTTTATATGGATAGGAGGGGAAGATAATGGTTAACTCTAAACTGGAACAGGTTAAGATTATAGTGATGAGGGAAATATCCTGTTGGGAGTCTGTAGCATAGACCAGTGGTTCGCAGGAAGATGCTGTTCAAGTGGAACTTCTCACCAATGGAATACGGAGGGCGTGTGACTGTTTGCTTCAATGTAAGTGGCATAGCGGGTCCTAGCCATGAAGGTTAGACCTAGCAGAACCAAGGTATGTAGTTCATTGAAGCACTTTCCATGAAAGTAGTGATAGAGCAGTGAGAGGCTCTATTGAGACTGGAAAGTGAGGCCTTGGCAGCTCCTCCTCAAACATGGCTACCATATTGCATCTTCAGCCTGATCTGGCTCTTATAAAGGTATTTTTTGGAGTGGTACAAGGAACCATCCATTTTACCTGCATCTCTAGTAATGGATCGTATGTGCAAGTTCCACTGGTGGTTAAGTGTGATTTGAGGCCCAATAGTCTTTTAAGGCATAGTGCCTCCTCGAGGGGGATATTCATCCATTGCAACTGGCGGTAGTTCAGGATCCAATCCGCAGTGATAGAATGCAACTAGTTTGGTTTTCGAGACATTGAATGTAAACAGACAGTTTTTTTCCCCTCCTGGAAAGTTAGTGCTAAATCAGAAGGGAAATCAGCAGCCAATCCCTGATTGTCAAGAGTTTCAGAGATGCATCCGTATATCGTATCATTGGCATAGATGTTTACAAATGAGGATATTCTTAGGAAGATCATTTATATAAGTCAAAAAGAGGGTTTGTCCAAAAAGTGACACCTGGGAGATGACTGTTAATTGCCAGGACCTCCAAGGATTGGCAATTAATAAGTAACTTCAGGTATCAAGAATTTTATAATTGAGAAAACCCTTCCAGTGATTCCATAGCTGGAGAGGTTTTGTAGCAAACCTTTGTGCCACAACTTGTCAAAGGACTTCAAAATATCTAATGCTATGGTCCTCAAGCTGTGTTTGTCACCAAGAACCTTACTAATTTTGTGTGTAATGGTATTTAGGATGTCAGCAGTGGATTCGGCTGATCAAAACTTATACTGCTTGTTCCTATCTAGGTGCTTAAAAATCTTCTTGTTGATTACAGACTCAAAAAGCTTACTGGTGATACTGAGGAGACTGATGAGTCTATACAGGGAGAGGAAAGATCACTTGTACACATTCTTTATGACCAGGTATACACTTGATTCCTTCTATAAGCATGGGAAGAATTTCTCCTTTAAGCAGTGGTTGCTCGGATCAGGGATAATTTGGGTTGGTATTCTAAAGGACAACTACTGAAATAGGGACAAAATCTCTGACACTTGCATCTAATTCTTGTCTGCTTTTGTACAAAGCCTTATACAAGAACACTTACAGAGGATGATTTCTGCAACTATTTATAGAGGTTGCTGGTATACAAATAAGGTGTATCAGAAAAGTGACAAATAATGGGTCACAGGTCAAGAAAAAAAAAACAAAAAAAACATTCAGGCATTTTGAGCAGTGGCATTCATTCAAAACACTGGTTAAAACTATAAAAAACAAAGCTTAAAAATATCTAACCGACTGATGCGTGGAAGTCATTTCACTTTTCATGGCCATCAGGTCCTGCATTAGGCTGTTATCTTTGTTCTTTATATTGTTCATCTCTTTGGTGAGGGCTTCAGACCTTTGCTTAATGCTGGTTAGGTCCAAAGGCAGCTGAGATGTCTGTTCCAAAATGTTTGACACCTGGAGAGAAAGAGCACCCACATTGTGCTTCATCTCAGCCAACTCCTTTTCAAATCGATACTGGAGGCTCTGGAATGCTTTTGTGTCCGAGAGGATCCTCTGCATGCCCACAGCCAAACTTCCCACCTTTCGATTAAGCGAGGCAACAGCCATTTCTTGATGCATCTTGCTATTTTGTAATTCATCAATGATTTCAGACTTGCTCTTTGACGCCTTTTCTGCTTCCAGTCTCATCTCACCAACCTTCTGCCTCACTTCCTGTCAAGAGAATTTGACCAGAGTCAAATCACATACATTTACTTTTGCTAGCTTGACAATATTTAATGTCAAAGACAATCTCCTAAGATAAAAAAAAAATTCTAATTGGAAAATGTTTTTTTATAGTTTTTAAATTAATATTTCTATTTAAATTATAAAGTATTTAAAATTTTTTTAAATATTTTTAAAATTTAAAAAAAAATTTTAAATTTTAAAAAATTAAAAAAAATAAATCTTAAGGCTTGAAAACCTAGATTATTGCTCTTTTATATCTTTTTTAACTAATTTTCACACTATACAAGGCCCAAGAGCCACTCAAGGTAGAGAGCAAAGGATGTTGTGTAAGCAGTAAGGGGTAAGAGGTACAGTTTATGAGGATATGTAGGAAAGATAACACTAGACTCGAAAGGGTGTAGTGGTCTAGAAAGCATCCTCTTGGGAGTCGGTTCCACAAAGTAGCAATTTGTGGGAAGAAGCAATTCAAGTGGAACCTACTTCTTACCAATGCAACATAAAGAGAATGAGGGTGCTTCACCTCAGTGGTCACGGTATGGTGGGTCTTTACAGTGAAGGTTAGAGTTGATGAAACTAAAGAAAGTAGCTTGAAATTTTACATGGAAACAGTAATATAGTAGTGAGAGGCTTGCAACAACTCATTTGTCGGAAGGAGATTGTAGGGTGGAAAATAATCCATCACCTACAAGGCCGTGGAGACACTTTTGTACTCTATCAAGACTGAAAAGTGAAGACTGGGCAGCTCCAGCCAAGATATGGTAGCAGTACTCCATTTTTGGTCTAATTTGTAATGGTAGAGCATTGCAGGAGGAGTCATGTACTTACTGGAGCAGTACAAGGAACTGACCATTTTTCCAGCATCTTCAATGATGGGTAATATCCATGAAATATTGTAATGTGACCAGCCAGTTTTTTCTCAGTTGAAGTGTTACAGCTAAGTCAGAACAGGTACCAGGCTCTGGTCATGTAGATCTTTGGAGGTGCACCTATATACCGTTGTATTATCAGCATAAATATTCACAAATCATATATTCTTAGGCAGATCATTAATATAAAGCAGAAAGATGGTTGGGCCAATAAACAAGCCTTACTCATTTGGAAGGACTTGATAATTAAAAAGAGCCCTTCAGTGATTGCATAGCTGGAGAGCTCATATAGCAACCCGATATGCTACACCTTGTCAAAGGCCATTGACATATCTAATGCGATTGCCCTCATGATGTATTTGTTGTATAATGCCACATTGATTCTGTAAGTATTGTCAGGATATCAGCACTGGACCAAGCCAAATGAAATCCGTATTGCTTATCACTCAAGAAGTCGTCCCTTTCAACAACCGCCTGATGATAGCCTAAGAAAGTTTGCTAATGCTGCCAAGGATGCTGATAAGTCAATATTGAGACAGGGATGAACATTCACCTGCATCATTCTTATCTGCCTTGTGCTAATAACACAATGTCTCATTACTCAGTAGTGATACAAGGTCCATAAATCAAAAAAAAAAAATATATATATATATATATATATATATATATATATATATATATATATATATATATATATATATATATATTTTTATATAACATATATATATCAATTTACACACTATTCTTTAGAGAGATGATATGCACTATGGTTTATAAAAGATTTTACACACACCTCCTCAGATCTTCAATATTTCCATTCTAATTACCAAATTCAGGATGAATCTATCAAAATATCTCAAACACTTTTTGTGCTAATATCACTTCATATATCTTTCTCTGTGTGTGAAATTTTAATTTCCTATACAAAGTGCTATTCAAAACTCAAGAAAAGCAAACAGCACAAACCTAATCCAATACAAACTTTTGTACCCAACTTTTACCTTAACACTTAGTTCCCACCTTCTCCTTCAAATAAAACCAGGTGTTAGAAAAAATAATTTTTTCTCCAGAGACTAATTTTTGAAAAGAGATGAATTCATACCTGGAATTTGAACTTGGCTCTCCAATTTCTCATTCCATGTCATTACCCATCACACCACTCACATCCAAATTTAAAGCACATGGTATTCCTAAGCAGTCACACATCTATCGACTGACCAAGCTTAATATTGCTTAACTTTGGTGATCAAACAAGAACTGGTGTTTCAACACAATATCACTCTAAGATTAAGGTATTCCCTCTAAATTACAGCTCTTGGAGGTTTTTTAGTTTTTAATTGAATTATCAATACAGAACTACATTTTGTACATGTATAGTTGGCCACTCATATTCGAGATACCCGTCTATTAGGGCGGCTAGCCAATCCCTATTGCAGACACTTGCTCAGGTGCATTTGTGTTTATTCACCACCCACAGAGCCCACCTGTGGTTTATACTGGAACTATGCTGAGCAAACCTTAGTTACAGTTTCTGGGAAAGAGTGTGTTATCTAGCGTGATCAACAATGAACAAGACCAGCATGCTCAAACCCTCGGTCACGATGACTTGTGACTTTGTGCTAGCACAGCTATTGACAGCCCCCAATCTATTCAATTTCACTCACAAGGCTTGGGTCAACCCATGGTATGGTTTTCAGGCACTTTCCAAAGGTGCCGCACACTGGGTTCGACCCCTCCAGTCCAATAACATCAGGAAGTCTCCTTCCTGACAAATCGACCATGGCAAGATTCAAACTCGGTCAAAATGCAAACGTTATAACCACTCAGCCACTTTGTACATAAGTTTAAAGAAAACTACAGATTTTGGTAACCTTCCCATAACCTAATTTAGTGTAGTTACTTTGTAAGAATGTGGTAGCAGCTTGGAATGAGAATGAGAGCCAAGTTCGAATTCCAGTCAGGCTTGTTGTATTCACTTGTGCACAAAAACCCTCCTCCAGCTGTGGGTTAAATAGTACAATTTGTAAAAGAAAATCATTGTTATCAAAAAAAAAAAAAAAAACAATTTAATGCAATATTCACTTGCAAAAATGAATTATACTTACAGTCCAAAATATGTTTTATAACAACACAAAGGGTTGATATACCATAAAAAACAATCAATAAACATTATAAATCTAAAATTATACATTTTTCTAATTACAGCCACATACAGCTAATTAATGTCTGGCATATCATTTGCATAATTATTGCCTAGTATATTATTTTACTGTGGTTAGGATTACATTTACAAAGCTTTCTTTATATATTGTCTATACGAACTATTGGGCATTGCAGAATTGTGTTGTTTTGTAATTTGGACCACTCCTGTCCAATCATTTGGCTTGGAAAAAGTTTCAAGCTAACTCTTGGCAGTTTAATAAAAATAGGCTTCATCTCTTCTGAAACCAAAATTAAATCTGAATCTTTAAATGGCTGAAGGACCTTTGGTAAAACTCATTAAGTGCATAAACATTGTAAACAAGAAGAATTGTATTATTCATCTAAAATGAGAGGGTAATCCAAGGAAGGTTTTTCAATAACAAAAAGGAAGAATTTACAGTAACTGCTTTTCATAGAAAAAAACAACATATTAGAAAATTATACTTACATCAAATTCTTCTACATTTTCTTTGATTTCATTCAACTTTTTTTCCAGTTGTGTCATTTTGTGTCCAAGATTTTCATTTCCAGTCTCACCACCAGACGAGCCATGCAGTACAGGGATATCTTCTTGTAAAGAAAAATCCAAAAAAAAAAAATCAGATTCGAAAATCTAAATGTAACAGAAAACAGTAGCAAATAAAAAAATAAAAGGTTGCAAATACACTAATTAGCTTTTTGGAAATGTGTCATGCCAAAAACATGTCAGCATTAGGTAGCCAGGATTACCTTTGCCATATAGTCATGGTTAGCAACCTAGCATGCAAGATTGTTACACTTGTACTGAATTTTGTTACAGAATGTATAGGCTGACCCAGAATGGCAAACCACTGGTCAGAACTGATGATTTGAACTGAGTGGAGGTGGTTTGAACTCTGTGGGTAAAGAATTGCCTCTGTTTAAATGTCTAAATTCTTGATATAAGACTGAAAAGGTGTGAAAACATTCAGATGGTTGTGAGCATTAGAAGAGTCAAAATGCCTCTGGGACCCAGATTCCTTAGTGGGGCAAGCCAACATATGCCGATAAAATTCTAACCAAAGATTTGGCATGCATTGATGGAGTCTATGATACAGCATTGAGGTCTCAAGAAATGAGGTCATAAATGACATAAAACACAGCAATTTGATCCTCACTGGGTTCCTCAGACCTTTGGCCTTGTACAGTACAAAACTAAGCTCACAATAGTTATAGTGCCTCACTAAAAAGGTGTGGCTAGCAAGGTTGAGACTTTTAGTCCTCACTAGGTGCCTCATACTGTGCTTAAAATAGATATTAGAGTGAGAGTGAGATAAGTAATTAAAATTGAAGAAGAACAAAGTAAAATGAAACAAGAAATGGATAGATGGAGTAAAACAGAAATTTGGAAGAGAGAGAGAGTAATATTTCATCATCAGAGTAAGTAATGTTTTACTTTCCAGGATCCTTACCTTCTGAAGCCTTGGAGCTATGAGAAATTTGCATACCGACTCCCAGGGACGTTGAAAGGATGCACTTCCCAGTGAGACTGTTGAAGTTTACAAATCGACATTTAATGGCAGTCTCGGTTAAACATGCACTAGCACAAGACTCTCGGGTGAAAATTCCACGTTTCACTATTTTTGACATGGGACTATCTTGCTCAGCTGAAAAGAAAAGGAAAAGGAAAAATAGCAGGTTCCAAGGATTAGGACTCCTTTCTTATGTGTGCTAAAAATTAACATTTTTCATAATGAATCATCGATAATAACTTTTAAAATTTAATTTAATAGAGTGGCAAATGAAATATAGTGCATTAGATAGTGACTCAATGATAGGACGGAAGTGAGGATAAGTGTCCACAGTACGGTCTTGTAGATGGTAATCTTGACTTTATGTATCATGTGCTTGTCCCCGAGTAGTGGGTAAAGCATTCAAAGATTACTGTTGTAGATCATTTCATAGTAATGTGGGGGGTCTCCTAGGAATCTATCACTGGACCTACATGGTTTCTGATCTTCATCAATGACATTCCCAATGACATCAGTTCCCAACTAGGAATTTATGCCGATGACACAACCATTTTCTCCTGTCTTAGTAACAAGTCCAACAAATTCAATAAAATTAAACTGGCAACTGCTCTTGAAAAGGACCTTAATTCAGTGTTTAAATCGTGCAGGAATAGCTTGTAAATTTTAACATTTCAAAAAAAAAAAAAAAAAAATATCATTCATTTAATCACCATAGAACTTTTTTTCTACCTAGCTAAAGTCCAGGAGGACAACTTTTTTTACCTTCTTGAGCTCATGTTTTCCAGTGACATGAAGTGGAGTGATTATATTGAATCAATTGCTAGGTCTACTGTTAGGAAAATTGGTTTTATGGTGCTGTGACAGACATTTTTCTCATCAGAATCCATCTTGCACATTTATAAATCCACCTTTTGTTTGTGAATGAATACTGCTGCCATACCTGCTCTGGTGCTCCTGCTACATATATATCTCAAGATTCTTGACAAAATTCAAAGAAGCAAATAATCAATCCAGATCTGGCATCACTTCAGTCACTTTTTCAACAACATATCATGGCTTCCACCATCTTTTCTACAAATATTTTCATGGCAACTGTTCTGATGAGATTTTTTTCCTTAGTGACTTGACTGCATGAATTTAAGCGTGCTACTGGATTGGCAACTAGGTCTCACCATTTTACTGATGGACTAGCTCGATGTGACCATCTCTTCTAAAAGTTTCTTTTCTCACCTGTGGAACACACTTCTGATTTCTTCTGCTTCCCTACCCCCTACAATCTTCAAAAGTTTAAATGCAATATCAATCACCATCTTCTATCTTCCTGAAACCTGTTCTTTTGTTGTCCTTGCCTAACTTCACACTAAAGCCCTCTCATTCTCTTTCACTCCTTGAAATGCTCTACATAATAGTGACATTATCATCTTGAAAAGATTTAAGAAAAAAAAAATGTTAATTATATCATTAAATGTTGTTTTTTATTATTTATCTCTATAAGTGAAAAACATTAATATCCACAAACAAGACACTCAAAACGATCATGGCTGTGGATTCAGTGCCCATATCAAAAATATAAGAAAAATGGTCGGCTTCTTATACCACTTCAGAAAGTACCCAATATGGTCTATTTTTACAAAAAACAGACTGGGTCAAAAGTGGAGTTTTGCTGCCATATCTGAGTTGGAGCTGCCCAATTCTCTCTTTCTAGCTTTGACTAAGATCAAAAGCTTTTACACTTGTAGATTATTTTCTGCCCTACAACACCTTTCCCCACAAACAAAACACTGCAAGCCTCTCACTATTCTAGCACCATTTCCATAGGAAATATCCTGACAAACTACATTCTTTAGTTCCACCAGTTCAGATATTTATAACTAAAACCCGCCATGCCACATCCACAGGGTCAAATCATCCTCATTCCCTTCATATTTCATTGGTAAGAAGGAAGTTCTATGTGGACAGCTTTTCCCCCCAAGCACCACTCCCAAGAGGATACTTCCTAGATCAGTACAATCTTAACCTCTTCAAGTCTACAGTCAACCATTATTTATCCTAATATCCTCATAATCTGCAATTCTTACCACTGCCTCTTATAACCATAAAACAACTTCATTCAGTATCTCTCTACCTTGAGTCACTCTTGCGCCTAATATTTGATGATCAATAGCATAAAAAGAAAAAATTCTAAGAACAAATTTTGCTTTAATAAACAAGAGAAAATTATATTTTTCTGATTAAAAATCTCAAATTATCATGAACAAGTAACATTTGTCTTCTGCTAATTTTAAATGAAACTGAAAATACAAAAGAGAATTGAAAAATGACAAACAAACATGGAAAATTTACTCATGACACAAGATAGCTACTGTATTTGACAGTATATAAGACAGACTTTTTTTTTTTACTAAAAATATCTTTTAAAATTCCCCTTATATGCCATATGTAGATCTAAAATTCGTGATAGTTGGCCGAAATTAGCTACCTGGCAAATCCTATTAGCATACACTTAAACATGAAGGAGCAATGGAACATGTGGATGGCAATACCTGATCAGAACTTTACACTTACATGAAGAATAAAAAGACCCAGCATTGCACAAGTCTGCGAATGGGTCAAACAAGCTTGGTATAATATTAGACCAGAAATTGTGAAATCTTTTAAAAAGTGTGGCATTAGCAATGCTCTCAATGGAATGGAAGATGACGCATTATTTAACAATGATGACAGTAGTATTGAAAATGAATATCAGAGTTTTGATAATGAAGACGACAACTTTTATAGATTTGAAGAAAAATAAAATTTTAATGGTAACTGTACTGTTTTGCTCAATTGTAATAATTGCTTGATTTTTATTTTGTTTTCTTACCTTTGGATATAATAAAGTTTTTATAGGCTTGTGTTCTTTTTTTCCTATTATTTTTTGTTTAATTGTAATCATGGCTTGTTTAACCAAAATAATACCTCATAAATATATAGCCTAGGCCTTACCATTTACTAATAATTTTACTAATTACTAATTTTTTCTTAATTTGCCCTGCTGAAATTGGGATGCGTCTTACACACCCGTGAAGGATTGTATGCCGTCAAATACAGTAATTGTAAATGAAAACTTTTTTGATAAAGACATAAAAAACTTTTAGGAGTTTGTTGTAATGCATTAATAAATATTCTTTAGACACAAAAAAAAAAAAAAAAAAAAATGAATGCATTGAGCACAATTCATAAATTAAAGAATAATAAAAGTTAATGAGCATGAAAACTAATTATCAAGAACATATCCTGGTAAAATGATACAAGTGATTTAACAGAAAAGTTTAAATAAAAATAAAAGATAAGATTTTTTAGAAAAATTACAGTAAAATTTAACTTATTTGTTTGTGTTATAACACACTTATAATATAAGTAATATTTCAACAACTTGCCATGTTGCCTGTATTACTTAGTCTAAAGACTGACTCCAAATGACTTCTCTTTTCTTTTGATCTGGAGCTCATTATTTATAGTTATTGACTAGTTAATATAGTCACCAGGGGTGTACTATTTACTCCACAACAGTTTTGGTATTTATTTAAACATTTTTAAAATTTTAATAGCTCCTTAATTTACTTCCTAAACATTTTAATGGTGCTTTCATTATGCTTTTAAGAAGTTTTGATTGATTTCTTTTTTATGGCTTATCAACCTTTTGAAGGTTATTTAAAGCCAGAAAATATTTTTACATTCTATGAATTTTGCGGAAATGATAATGATTTACTGATAGAAGTGCTTGATAAAAGCAATGTGCAAGTCGAAGGTGGGGGGGGGGCACATGAGAAAAGTTGTAAGAGACACAGAGGAAGAAGGAGATTTGAGAATAAGGAAAGACAAGAGAAAGATCCTGGGGGTAGCAAAGGAGATTCAAACTACCAAGTCCCACTTACTTAGCATTGATACACCCACTCTTGGCTTTTTTTTGCTTTTTTTTAAAAAATTTCAAACCACAGAATAGACTGTGCTGGGAATAGCATCACACAATACCACAAGCTGCTGCAAAACCAAAACATTAACCTAAAATATCCAGTCATGTTCTTAGTCTTGTGAGATTGAGACTTTCTTATGGATGCCATGCAGGGCACCAAATTTCTTCAGAAATATCTAAACTGTCAGCTGTATACAAGGACATTCTAAGATTGTTGGTTAAAGGTGGCTCTGAACAAGTGAAACATGTAGGCCTCAACAAGGACCATTTCTCATCAAATCTCATGGGTTGACATCAGAGAATCATAAAGAAGTGAACCAGATAACAGAAACCACATCACTAGAGGACTTTCAGCTGCAGCAACAGACAAAATGAAGGTCACATGTAACTCAAAGAGAAAATAATGACATAATCAAGGTGTTGACATTCCACACTACCACAAAAAAAAAGTCAATGAAGGAAGCATCCATCAATGCCCGTAAGAACATTAACAGTTACTGGACTTGAGAAAGGTATTTTTCTGGAAAATTGTTTTAAGATTTTATAAAATTTCAACCAAAAGCAGCAGACTGCTTGGTTAATGAATAATGGTTATAAGGAAATGGTTAATATTATCATTACCATAATTCAATTCAAGATGGTAATCTATTTTCTTAAGTTCAGCCTCGATATCAAGTGATGCTTTATTATTTCTCAGTTTTTTGGGCTTTTTTTATACATTTCTTAAAATCCTCATCAGTAGGTTCATTATAGTTTAAGTTTGGAGACAGACATTATAATAATTTGATTTATATTGGTATATATTCTATTTCTGCAGGCATCTTTAGTGTGGTCAGGATTGAAACGAAATTCAAAGTGTTTTTTTGAAACCAGGACATTTCTTCTATGTTCATTTCAATTGTATGATATTGTGATTTTTTTTTTTTTTTTTGCTTTTCTCCACATTTTAACACATTGTCTATGCTCTTTAGCTTCATTAATTTGGTTTCCAAGTTTCTAGAGATTTGGGTTTTTCAGGA